GTATTTTATAATTACAGCTCGATTATAAGCACAAAATTACATTTCTTAATTACTGGGGATCTTCTGATTAGTCAAAATGATACAATTTACAACGCGCTAAAAAAAAAAAAGATCTATCTCATAAGGACACTTATGAAAGCCGATGCGGCTTTTAACTAATTTTATAATATTTTAACAACTTAAATGTAAAATCTATTATAATTAATGAAATAACAAATAATTGTATTAAAAATTCATTTTTCATCGAAAAAATTTTTTTGCTTTCAGAAAATATTGTCCATATTCATAAAAACAACTAAAAGCAAATAAAAGCATTTGAAATTAAATAATATCTTTGTTTTATTGAGTTTTGTATGTTACAATTCAGAGCTGATTTTCAGGTACTGCGTATCCAATTAAAAAAAAAAAACATGATTTGCATTCCTCAAAGCCCTGTGCTTTTAATTATTGTAATCACTAAAACCGATGCGATCGAATTTCTAGCGTTTTCATAAAATTAGTTATGGGGGGGGGTAATAAATATTTTAAAAAATATTTCTACCATGACTTTCATAAAAAAAACATTTATAATAATTTCGATCATCTGTGAATAGTTCCTGAAAGTTTCATTAACATCCGATAATTATTTCTATTTTTGCACGATTTTTCAAATTAATGTGTGTCATACCAAAAAAAAAACGCTAAAAATTGTCTATGTTATTTACTAGTTCCGCTGATAGAAATAGAAGAAAGGTTTTTTTAATCAATTTAGAATGTTCTAAAAATTAAAATTTTTAAAAAATAATTAAAAATACTTTTCTTTCCTCTTAATAATAACAAGCATTTAGACAATAAAATTTAGTTTTCGGCAAGGTTGGCGTCTTTTTCATCAAGCTATGCTCTTTTTTTAGCGATTTCGTGGAGGTACCTAACTTAGATGGGCTTCGTTTCAAGGTGTGATTAAACAACGAAAAAAAAAAAAAAATCAAAAAAATATCTGTTTCGAATGCAAAGAACGAGGATACAACGAATCACAATTTAGAATATATCTCCTATGGCGAAAATATTTTATTAGGATCTACAACCATTTGAAGTCATTTGGAATGTAAATGATAGAAAATGTATTTAGATTACTGAATAGTTATGTAGTTCGAGAACAGTGTCCTCTGCGTGTAATAATTCTGTTTGTTAGTAAAACAAATTAATACATTACCTCTTAAAATAAAGTTCATTAGAATGTTGATCTTTCAGATTTCAAATAATTTTGCAATGCTATGTGCATAATATCTAACTTTGGACATACAATTTAAAAAATATATTTATTACTTTTAATTTTTTTTTAACTGTCAAATTGTGTTCTTGATCTATATAAACCCTTCATATATCTACTTTAATTTTAAATGCGAAGTTATATTTGTGATTCAAGGAACTTGTTACAGATGACTGCAATAAAAAAAAAAAAAGGGAATACAATTCAACGGTCAAGAATGTTAAATAATAATGTGGCCATTTAATGTAATTTGTTTCTACCTCAAACTCCATGCCAAAAAACAAAAGAACAAAAAACAAAAAAAAAAAAAAACAGTCGGATTTTTTGCGTAATATACTGTAGACAAAGAGGAAAAGAAAGCAAATGAGAGACTGTATGGACGGAAATCATGTGAATTTCAGAGAAATCGCACTTTGTTTTCCAAGGGAGTAGTTACGTATTTGATCAAAGTTTAGACAATGAACTATCATGCTCGGAAAAAAAAAAAAACGAAGTCTTACACCGGTAGAGAAGGTATTTGTTAGAGTTCGATGAAAAACTTTAATTCCTCTCACGTTATAATTCACTAATTTTGTAGTTCATGTATAACCACTGTTGAAATGAAAAGCAAACAGGTATTGGCATATGGAGAGGCAAGCCTTAATCAACGAATCAATTATTTATAAAGGAAGGTTACCAGATAAGCTTATCATAATAACCGCTTACCTTAGAATTAAACGATGTGGGAAGCTTGATAAGAATGCAGAACTGGCTGTTTTCAAGTGGTTGCTAAAGTGAATAGCCAAATAGACTCATTAAGCATAGAACTGGGGAAATCGACAAGCATCTTCAAATCACAGAAACACACCTCAAGGTATGCAAAGGAATTTCGACATTGAATTGTTTTTGGCAGGTAAGGGGAGGGGTTAAAAGAAATTAACCCCACATAAACTTCCTATTCTTTTCCCTCTCCGTCCTCACTCCCTTTCCGTCCTTCCAACTTTCCGTCCTCCCAAGCCTCTCCTCACTCCCTTGCTTGTCCTCACTGTTGATCTCCGTCCTCACTCCCTCTCCGTCCTCATATATCTCCGTCCTCATATGTCTAATCCTATAATTTCCGTCCTCCTCCCTGAAAATTCCAATGACAAATGATTTAAATGATTTTACATGTGGAGTTCGTCTTCGTCTGGCTATTTAACAAAGCAGAGGGTTTCGCGCCATTTTCTTCGGAATTATCTGGGTAAGTAATTGTCATTTTATCCCTCCTCCCTCAGACATATGGTACATATGGGGTTTCTGAGGTATTATGATTGTGTTTTTTTTTTTGGTGTAAGAATTACCGTGTTATGTTTGGGTCAGTGAATGGCTAGTTGTTTAATTGTAAGAGAGATGAAGACACGTCTAACTCGAGATTTACCTTAATCTTTTTCCACTAGGGCCACTGGTCCGTGGTTGTGTAAGCAAGTCATAGCTGGACATGCCACCGCTAAGTAACAAATTTACGCAACGGTGGGGGAAGGCAAGGGAGGAGACAAGGCCTCCGGTACGGAACAGATACTACAACTGCAGCATCTATTCCGACGGGGGGCAAAAAAAAAAAATTTTTAAATCCTTTCGGAAGAATCCGGGGAGAGCGCCACAAAGACAACCCTTCCCCATCCCCATTTTGTGTTCGTGCCATTTTTGTAAACTTTCGTACAATAAATATCATTATCCCGGCAAGTGATTTTCTTTTTTTACCGAGTTAAGTATATTCGTTCGTTTGAAAACGGGAAAAAAAGTGCATTAAAAAAAATCCTTTGTTTGCATGTGAAATTGATTCATCAGAATTTTATTGATGTAAAATATTCTATATTCTAAATATCTTCATAAGTATGATTGGGGTATGATTTTTGAGATTTAAAATATCAGCTTTATTTGGGAAGAAAAATGAAAATCACGCGTTAGTTTTATTACCTTTGCAAGATATTTCTGATAGTGGAAATATTTCTTAGCATATTCCGTTACATTATATTTGTTCAATGCAATTTGAAACACATTTGGTGTGCCACGAAGATTCATAATTGAAGTTTTGTCCGTAATATCAGGGTTGTACGGGAGTGGACAGGTAAAGCAAAGAAAGCCTAGTAACGCCCCCTGCCGTGCCCTGCCACCTCTATTTTTGGTTATTTAGGAGTTCAACCAATGACAACTGTTTCTACACTTACTGCAAGCTTTGTCTGCTTAATTAATGGAGCTGAAGTTTTGCCGCCATTTTTAGGGAATTATCTGGGTAAGTAAAATTCACTTTATTTTTTTTAAATATTGATTTGTGTGTATTGACATTGGGGTTGTAAAAAAAGCAGAGTAAACGTTAAGAAATTTGAAATGTTCACAATCGAAAAAGATCCATATATAATTTTGTGCGAATTGGCCATACCATTTGAAATAGCGCATTAAAAAAAAAAAAAATTCAAGGTATTATATCCATTGCAATACCCTTTCGTAAAAAATTTGACACGATCCTTTCATCGATTCTTATATTTTGCAAATCGAAATTCTTTCTGCTATGAGCGTAGTCGTGTCTATTTTGGTGCTTCCTACTCTTTGGAGATCTAACCTTTTGGTCTTGGTACTATAAGATATTTTCATATACGTAAAACTCATGACTAGATTGATCTTTTCGAACCTACTAAAAGTAATCATTTCTTCACTAAGTGATTTTTTTTGTTTTAATATACGGAATTAAAGTAATCATTTCTTCACTAAGTGATTTTTTTGTTTTAATATACGGAATTATTTTCTATTGTCCACTTCTGAATAGACAATTGCGTATAATATTAACCATAATTCAAAATCATTCCTTAGCGCTATTACATTTCGGACTTCCCCTGACATTGTCAATCAGACGATGTTTTTAGTCTTAAGTACGTTTTAGTTTTTTGTTTTTTTTTTAAAATTAGATCTTACTGTTAATATTTGTTTAATGTGTTGATTTTAATTTTAAATAATACATTTCATTGCTTTATCTTTCTGACTTTTTAGAAACTTTTGACAGTAGAAACACATTTACAGAAGCTTTTTATTACAAACAGCTAGTGTTTGTAAATTAAATTTTACTGATGATTGCGACAGTACAACTGATTTAAATTAATTTTATGAAGTAAAACTTTAAAAAAAAACTTTAAAATGTTTCTTTTCATTTTATAAATTTATCCAGTTGATTTAATTTTTTTTTTGGGGGGGGGGTTCGCATGTGAAATAGCCCCCGATCCTTCTCATATCTTCAATTTTTTTTTAGGATCCACGTTACTTCAGCGTAAATAGCAATTGGCGGGAATAAACTGCTAAAATTTGTTCTTGGACAGAAAGAAGAAAAATTCAGATCGAGGTTTTCGTAATATTTCTGCATTATGTTTCTGAATTTTCTTGCTCTTGAACCCTTTAATGGTTCGTGATATGCTTGAAGATTTGACTACAAATTATCTGCGTTTGGTATCCATGAGTTGGCACGATGCTTACCAGCCTATATTTCTTAATGTTCTCAATATATTCCAGATATAACACCATTTTTTTTTATCTGGTATGCTCCTGTTTCTCCCATGGTACAGTTATATTTTTTATGGCGACGTTTAAGAATGTTATATCTAGGTAAAGAGATTTGTTTTACGTTTAGGTTCTTTAGGGAATTTCACTCGTTTCCACACATGTAATCGGATGCAATCTTTAGTATTTTTGAATTTCTTTTTGTTTCCAACTTTTATGAATGTATTTGTCTTGGTAGATATTCGATATGTTTTTTTCCATTCTTCCAGTGCAATTGATCTTAACTAATATTGGCGCCATTTTAAAAATTCTTCTCGCTGTACTCTAGAACATCTTAGTGTGATCCTCTAACATTACACAACGCAGATTTTATTTCCTCTTCCCGCCATTCATGCAGGTTTACAGGACTACGTAGTACGATAAAAAGGTCTTGCATTGCAACCTTTTATAAATATCGCTTCACTCAGATTTAAAAACTAAAATTAATGTCTCTAGGAAGCTTGATGGAATTTCGGAGGTTACCCATTTCCCCCCTCCCCTAGGTAAATTTAAAAGGGAATCTTCGGAGAACGGTATTACTGAAGGATATTAAAATCTTCACCTAATGTTCTCATGTAATTCAAAAAAAGATGGAGGTTTATAAACAATGAAGCTCATAGGTATTCCGGAATAAACTAAATATTGAAAGAATAATTCGACAATGATATACGGATAGACAGCAATGGACGCAATGGTGACTTAGTGATATACGCGTCTTTTATTCAAATATCGCAAAATAGCTAAAGTTCCGGCCATTGTAAGCTGATCTTGTTCGATAGAAGATAACTAAAATTACCGTTAACTCACTGAAGAAATTTAGGCAGTATTATACTGTTACACCTCTTCTCAATATTTTCACTCATTATATTTAAACTAGAGTAACAGTGCCATCAAAAATGACAGCAGGTATTAATGTATTATAAGTAATATTAAGTACCGCCATGAGATCACTAAAAAAAAGAGCATAGCATAATGAAAAAGACGCCAAACTTGACGAAAACAAAATTTTAGCGTCTAAATGTGTTATGAAGAGGAAACTCCAGAGTTTATTTTAATTATTTTTGAAAGCGTTTCCTTTTTAGAACATACTAAATTTTGAGTAAGAAAGCTTGATTCTCTTAGTATCACCGGAACTAGTAAAATAACATACAATTTTTGGCATGTTTTTTTTTTTTTTTTTGTATGACGCACATTAATTTGGAAAAACCGGCAAAAATAAAAATTGTCTGATGTTAATGACTTCCTGAAACTATTCACAGATGATCGCAATTATTATAAATGATTTTTGTTTTTTTTGAAAGCCGTGGCAGAATTTTTATATTTATTGCCCATACCATAACTAATTTTATTAAAACTCTAGAAATTCGATCGAGTCCAATTTAGTGATTACATTATTTTGAAGCACAAGGCATTGAGGAATGCAAATCATGTCTTTTTTCTTTTTAAATGGACCCCCTACCTGAAAATCAGCTCTGAATTGTAACATATAAAGCTCAATAAAACAAAGATATTTAATTTTAAATGTTATTTGCATTTAGTTTTTATGAATATGGACAATATTTCATGAACGCAAAAATTTTTTTCGATGAAACATGAATTTTTAATACAATAATTTTCCTTTAATTATAATAGATTTTTACATTTAAGTTGTTAAAAATATTATAAAATTAGTTAAAGGCCGTATCAGTTTCCTAAGTGTCCTTATGAGGTGGATCTTTTTAGCGTTGTAAATTGTATCATTTTGAGTAACCAGATGATCAGCAGTAATTAAGAAATATAATTTAGTATTTATAATCGAGCTCTAATTATAAAGTACTGAAGACCAACCAGAATACAATTAAGTTGCTTTATTTTAGTTCAGTATTGTTCTCCGCTGTTAAGTCATTTACTTTTGCGAAACACGTGTAGAGAAGTTTATTTGATTCTTCAATTTCAACTGACAAGGGTACCTAAATTATCAGCTCATGAAATTTTATGTTAATTTTATATTAATCTCAGTTATGACATTTTTCCATGAATGAAATATCTTAATTAAAAATAAAATTAATGAAAGTACAAATAACAGTAAAATGTACTAAATGTACATAAAACTATTGTATTTTACGTAACATTTCTGATAAAATTTCATAAGAAAGCTACCGATAAATTAGATACATTTCATATGAAATATGAAATTTAATCTCACACTTAAAACAAGTTTTTTTTCCTGCATTTGTTTAGTGTTTTTTTTTCTGCATTTGTTTACAGTGTTTTTTTCCTGCATTTGTTTAGTGTTTTTTTTCCTGCATTTGTTTACAGTGTTTTTTTTCCTGCATTTGTTTAGTGTTTTTTTTTTCCTGCATTTGTTTACAGTGTTTTTTTTCCTGCATTTGTTTACAGTGTTTTTTTTCCTGCATTTGTTTACAGTGTTTTTTTTCCTGCATTTGTTTACAGTGTTTTTTTTCCTGCATTTGTTTACAGTGTTTTTTTTCCTGCATTTGTTTACAGTGTTTTTTTTTCCTGCATTTTAAAACAGTGTTTTTTTCCTGCATTTGTTTACACTGTTTTTTTCCTGCATTTGTTTACACTGTTTTTTTCCTGCATTTGTTTACATTGTTTTTTTCCTGCATTTGTTTACAGTGTTTTTTTCCTGCATTTGTTTTACAGTGTTTTTTTCCTGCATTTGTTTACAGTGTTTTTTTTTTTCCTGCATTTGTTTACAGTGTTTTTTTTTCCTGCATTTGTTTACAGTGTTTTTTTCCTGCATTTGTTTACAGTGTTTTTTTTCTCCTTTACAGTTTTTTTTTTCCTGCATTTGTTTACAGTTTTTTTCCTGCATTTGTTTACAGTGTTTTTTTTTCCTGCATTTGTTTACAGTGTTTTTTTCCTGCATTTTGTTTACAGTGTTTTTTTTTTTTCCTGCATTTGTTTATTTGTTTTTTTTCTTTCCTGCATTTGTTTTTTTTTTTCTTTCCTGCATTTGTTTTTTTTTTTCTTTCCTGCATTTGTTTTTTTTTTTTTTTTTCCTGCATTTGTTTTTTTTTTTCCTGTTTTTTTTCCTGCATTTGTTTTTTTTTTTTTCCTGCATTTTTTTTTTTTTTTTTCCTGCATTTGTTTTTCTTTCCGGCATTTTCCTTTTTTTTTACAGTTTTTTTTTTTCCTGCATTTTTTTTTTCTGCATTTTTTTTTTCCTGCATTTGTTTTTTTTTTTTTTTCTGCATTTTCTAGTGTTTTTTTCCTGCATTTGTCTTTTTTTTTTGCATTTCCTGCATTTGTTTTTTTTTTTCCTGCATTTGTTTTTTTTTTTCTGCATATGTTTTTTTTTTTCCTATATTTGTCTGTTTTTTTTTTTTTTTACCTACATTTGTCTGTCTTTTTTTTTCGGCATTTTCTGTTTTTTTTTTCCGGCATTTGTCTAGTGTTTTTTTCCGGCATTTGTTTTTTTTTTTTTTCCTGCATTTGTTTTTTTTCCCTCATTTTTTTAGTGTTTTTTTTCTGCATTTGTCTTTTTTTTTTCTTCCTGCATTTGTCTTTTTTTTTTTCTTGCATTTGTCTTTTTTTTTTTTTCCTGCATTTGTCTTTTTTTTTTTTCCTGCATTTGTTTGTTTTTTTTTCTTCTTTTGTCTAGTGTTTTTTCTTTTTTGTTTTCTGTTTTTTTTTTCTGCATTTGTCATTTTTTTTTTTTTTGTTTTTTTCTTGTTTTTTTTTTTTGCATTTGTCTGTTTTTTTTTTTTTCCTGCATTTGTTTTTTTTTTTTTTTTTGCATTTGTCTGTTTTTTTTTTTTTTCCATTTTTCTGTTTTTTTTTTTCCTGCATTTGTCTTTTTTTTTTTTTTCCTTGTCTGTTTTTTTTTTCTGCATTTGTCTTTTTTTTTTTTTCTTTTTTTGTCTGCATTTTTTTTTTTTGTCTCCTGCATTTGTCTGTTTTTTTGTCCTGCATTTGTCTAGTGTTTTTTCTTGCTTTGTCTGTTTTTTTTTTGCTTTTGTCTGTTTTTTTTTTTGCATTTGTTTTTCTTTTTTTTTTTCCTTCATTTGTTGGTTTTTTTTTCCTGCATTTGTCTGTTTTTTTTTTCCTGCATTTGTCTGTTTTTTTTTTTCCTGCATTTGTCTGTTTTTTTTTTCCTGCATTTGTCTGTTTTTTTTTCCTGCATTTGTCTGTTTTTTTTCCTGCATTTGTCTAGTGTTTTATTCTTGCTTTTGTCTGTTTTTTTTTGTCTGCATTTGTCTTTTTTTTTCTGCATTTGTCTTTTTTTTTTTTCCTGCATTTGTCTTTTTTTTTCCTGCATTTGTCTTTTTTTGTCTGCATTTGTCTGTTTTTTTTTTTTTTTGTCTTTTTTTTTTCCTGCATTTGTTCTTTTTTTTTCCTTTTTGTCTGTTTTTTTTTCCTGCATTTGTCTGTTTTTTTTTTTCTGCTTTTTTTTTCCTGCATTTGTTTACTTTTTTCCTGCATTTGTCTGTTTTTTTTTTCTGCATTTGTCTTTTTTTTTTTCCTGCATTTGTCTGTTTTTTTTTTTCTGCATTTGTCTGTTTTTTTTTCTGCATTTGTCTGTTTTTTTTTCTGCATTTGTCTTTTTTTTTTTCCTGCATTTGTCTTTTTTTTTCTTTCCTGCATTTGTCTGTTTTTTTTTCCTGCATTTGTCTAGTGTTTTATTCTTGCTTTTGTCTAGTGTTTTTTTCTTGCTTTTGTCTGTTTTTTTTTTCCTGCATTTGTCTGTTTTTTTTTTCCTGCATTTGTCTGTTTTTTTTTTTTCTGCATTTGTCTGTTTTTTATTTCTGCATTTGTCTGTTTTTTTTTTCTTGCATTTGTCTGTTTTTTTTTCTCTGCATTTGTCTTTTTTTTTTCTGCATTTGTCTTTTTTTTTTTTTTTCATTTGTCTGTTTTTTTTTCTTGCATTTGTCTGTTTTTTTTTTCTGCATTTGTCTTTTTTTTTTTTTGCATTTGTCTTTTTTTTTTTTCCTGCATTTGTCTGTTTTTTTTCCTGCATTTGTCTGTTTTTTATCTTTGTCTGCTTTTTTCTTGCATTTGTGTTTTTTTTTTGTTTTTGTCTGTTTTTTTTCCTGCATTTGTCTGTTTTTTTTCCTATTTGTCTGTTTTTTTTTTTTGCATTTTTCTTTTTTTTTTCTGCATTTGTCTGTTTTTTTTTTCCTGCATTTGTCTTTTTTTTTTTCTGCATTTGTCTAGTGTTTTTTTCTTGTTTTTTTTTCTGTTTTTTTTTTTTTTCTGCATTTGTCTTTTTTTTTTCTGCATTTGTCTTTTTTTTTCTGCATTTGTCTTTTTTTTTCTGCATTTGCCTTTTTTTTTCCTGCATTTGTCTGTTTTTTTTTTCCTGCATTTGTCTGTTTTTTTTTTTTTAGTCTTTCATTTGTGTTTTGTTTTTTTTTTTTACATTTTGTTCTTTTTTTTTTCTGCATTTTGTGTTTTTTTTTCCTGCATTTGTCTGTTTTTTTCCCTGCATTTGTCTAGTTTTTTTTCTTGCTTTTGTCTGTTTTTTTTGTCTAGTATTTTGTTTTTTTTTTTCCTGCTTTTGTGTAGTTTTTTTTGCACTTGTTTTTGTTTTTTTTTTTCTGCATTTGTTTAAACTGTTTTTTTTTCCTGCATTTGTTTACATTTTTTTTTTCTTTTTTTTTTTAGCATTTGTTTAGTTTCCTTTCCTCGCATTTGTCTGTTTTTTTTTTTCCAGCATTTGTTTGTTTTTTTTTTTTCCAGCATTTGTCTTTTTTTTTTCTGCATTTGTCTGTTTTTTTTTTCCTATTTGTCTGTTTTTTTTTTTTCCTACATTTGTCTAGTTTTTTGTTTAGCATTTTCCGTTTTTTTTGTCTGCTTTTGTGTAGTGATTTTTTTTTGTCTGTTTTTCTGTTTTTTTTGTTTTAGATTTGTCTGTTTTTTTTGTCTGCATTTGTTTTTTTTTGTCTGCATTTGTTTTTTTTGTCTGCATTTTTATTTTTTTTCTAGCATTTGTTTAGTTTCCTTTCCTCGCATTTGTCTGTTTTTTTTTTTCCAGCATTTGTCTGTTTTTTTTTTTCTGCATTTGTCTGTTTTCTTTTTCCTATATTTTCTTTTTTTTCCTACATTTGTCCGTTTTTTTTTTGTCTGCATTTGTCTGTTTTTTTTTGTCTGCATTTGTCTGTTTTTTTTTGTCTGCATTTGTCTGTTTTTTTTTCTGCATTTGTCTGTTTTTTTTTCTGCATTTGTCTGTTTTTTTTGTCTGCATTTGTCTGTTTTTTTTTTCTTGCATTTGTCTGTTTTTTTTTCTGCATTTGTCTGTTTTTTTCTGCATTTGTCTTTTTTTTTTGTCTGCATTTGTCTTTTTTTTTTTTTGTTTTTGTCTTTTTTTTTTCTGCATTTGTCTGTTTTTTTCCTGCATTTTGTCTGTTTTTTTGTCTGCATTTGTCTGTTTTTTTTTTCTGCATTTGTCTTTTTTTTCCTGCATTTGTCTTTTTTTTTTCTGCATTTGTCTGTTTTTTTTTTTGCATTTGTCTTTTTTTGCATTTGTTTTTTTTTTTTCTTGCTTTTTGTTGTTTTTATTCTCTTGCTTTTGTTTGTTTTTTTTTTCCTGCATTTGTCTTTTTTTTTGCATTTTTTTCTTTTTTTTTTCCTTTTTTTTTGCATTTGTTTTTTTTTTTTTTTCCTGCATTTGTTTTTTTTTTTCCTGCATTTGTCTTTTTTTTTTTTTTTTATTTCCTGCTTTTTTTTTTTTTTTTTTTTGCATTTGTTTTTTTTTTTTTTGCATTTGTCTTTTTTTTTTTTTTTGCATTTGTTTAGTTTTTTTTTCCTTGCATTTGTCTGTTTTTTTTTCCTGCATTTGTTTTTTTCATTTTGCTTTTGTCTGTTTTATTCTTGCATTTGTTTTTTTTTTCTCTGCATTTGTCTTTTTTTTTTTTTTTTGTCTGTTTTTTTTTTTTTTCCTGCATTTGTCTGTTTTTTCCTGCATTTGTTTGTTTTTTTTTCTGCATTTGTCTGTTTTTTTTTTTCTGCATTTGTCTGTTTTTTTTTTCCTGCATTTGTCTGTTTTTTTTTTCCTGCATTTGTCTAGTATTTTGTTTAGCGTTTTATTTCCTGCTTTTGTGTAGTGATTTTTCCTTGCACTTGTTTTTCCCTGCATTCGTTTAGATTTCCCTGCATTTGTTTAAACTGTTTTTTTCCTGCATTTGTTTACATTGCATTTTTATTTTTTTCTAGCATTTGTTTAGTTTTTTTTTCCTGCATTTGTCTGTTTTTTTTTTCTGCATTTGTCTGTTTTTTTTTTTTCTGCATTTTTTTTTTTTTCTTTTTCCTATATTTTCTTTTTTTTCCTGCATTTGTCTGTTTTTTTTTGTCTGCATTTGTCTAGTGTTTTTTTTGTCTGCATTTGTCTGTTTCTTTTCCTGCATTTGGCTTTTTTTTTCTGCATTTGTTTTAACCTTCATTTGTTTACAGTTTTTTCCTGCATTTGTCTGTCTTTTTTTTTTTTTGCATTTGTCTGTTTTTTTCCTGCATTTGTCTGTTTTTTTTTTCTGCATTTGTCTAGTGTTTTATTCTTGCTCTTGTCTGTTTTTTTTCCTACGTTTGTCTGTTTTTTTCCTACGTTTGTCTTTTTTTTTCCTACATTTGTCTTTTTTTTTCCTGCATTTGTTTACACTGTTTGCATTTGTTTACACTGTTTTTTTCCTGCATTTGTCTAGTGTTTTGTTTAGCGTTTTATTTCCTGCTTTTGTGTAGTGATTTTTCCTTGCACTTGTTTTTCCCTGCATTCGTTTAAACTGTTTTTTTCCTGCATTTGTTTACATTGCATTTTTTTATTTTTTTTTCTAGCATTTGTTTACAGTTTCCTTTCCTTGCATTTGTCTATTTTTTATTTTTCCTGCATTTGTTCAGTGTTTATTTTTCCCTGCATTTGTTTGCACTGTTTTTTTCCTGCATTTGTTTACAATGTTATTTTCCTGCAATATAGTGTTTCTTTTCTGCATTTGTCTAGGGTTTTTTCATTGCATTTGCTTTTTCCTGCATTTGTTTACACTGTTTTTTTCCTGCATTTGTTTACACTGTTTTTTTCCTGCATTTGTTTACACTGTTTTTTTCCTGCATTTGTTTACACTGTTTTTTTCCTGCATTTGTTTACATTGTTTTTTTCCTGCATTTGTTTACATTGTTTTTTTCCTGCATTTGTTTACATTGTTTTTTTCCTGCATTTGTTTACATTGTTTTTTTCCTGCATTTGTTTAATGAATTTTTTCCTGCATTTGTTTAATGAATTTTTTCCTGTATTTGTCTAGTGTTTTATTTCATTGCATTTGTTTCTCCCTGCATTCGTTTACACTGTTTTATTTCCTGCATTTGATTAGTTTTTTTTCCTAGTTTCTAGTGTTTTATTTTTTTTACTGCATTTGTCTAGTGTTTATTTTCTTGCATTTGTTTTTCCCTGCATTTGTTTACACTGCGTTTTTATTTTTTCCTGCATTTGTTTATTTTTCCTGCATTTTAGTGTTTTATTTTCCCTCCAATTTAGTGTTTTTTTTCCTGCATTTTTTTTTTCCTGCATTTTTTTTTTCCTTTTTTTTCCTTTCATTTTTTAGTTGTTTATTTTCCTTTTCATTTGTTTAGTTTTTTTCATTTGTTTTTTTTTCCTTCATTTGTTTTTTTTTTCTTTTTTTAGTTTTCATTTGTTTAGTTTCCTTTCATTTGTTTAGTTTCCTTTCATTTGTTTAGTTTTTTCATTTGTTTAGTTTCCTTTCATTTGTTTAGTTTCCTTTCATTTGTTTAGTTTCCTTTCATTTGTTTAGTTTCCTTTCATTTTTAGTTTAGTTTCCTTTTCATTTGTTTAGTTTCCTTTCATTTGTTTAGTTTCCTTTCATTTGTTTAGTTTCCTTTCATTTGTTTAGTTTCCTTTCATTTGTTTAGTTTCCTTTCATTTGTTTAGTTTCCTTTCATTTGTTTAGTTTCCTTTCATTTGTTTAGTTTCCTTTCATTTGTTTAGTTTCCTTTTCATTTGTTTTGTTTCCTTTCATTTGTTTAGTTTCCTTTCATTTGTTTAGTTTCCTTTTCATTTGTTTAGTTTCCTTTCATTTGTTTAGTTTCCTTTCATTTGTTTAGTTTCCTTTCATTTGTTTAGTTTCCTTTCATTTGTTTAGTTTCCTTTCATTTGTTTAGTTTCCTTTCATTTGTTTAGACAAATGCAATGAAAGGAAACTAGTGTTTTTTCATACATTCGTTTACACTGTTTTTTTTCCTGAATTTCTTTAGTGTTTGTTTTTTCCTGCGTGTGTTTAGTTTTTTTAGGCATTTGTTTACACTGTTTTTGTCCTGCATTTGTCTAGTGCTTATTTTATTTTACTATATTTGTATGTTTTTCCTGCATTTATCTAGTGTTTTTTCCTTGCAGGGAAAAACAAATGCATTTGTTTATAGTGTTTTATTTTTCCTGCATTTTTGTGATTTCTTTTCCTGCATTTGTTTACACCGTTTTTTCCTGCATTTGTTTACAATGTTGTTTTCCTGCATTTTAGCCTTTTTTTCCTGCATTTGTCCAGTGATTTTTTTTTTTTTCTGCATTTGTCTAGTGATTTTTTCTTGCATTTGTTTTTCCCTGCATTTGTTTAGTGTTTTGTTTTCCTGCATTTGTTTGCAGTTTTTTCCTGTATTATATCCTGCATTTGTTTACACTGTTTTTTTTTGCTGCATTGGTTTGCAGATTTGTTTTTCCCTGCATTTTTTTTTTCTGCATTTTTTTCATTTTAACCTTGAATTTGTTTACAGTTTATTTTCCTGCATTTGTTTAGTTTTTTTTCCTGATTTGTTTACTTTTTTTTTTTTTTTCATGCAATTGTTCAGTGTTTTTTTTTCTGCATTTGTTTAGTGTTTTTTTTCCAGCATTGGTTTAGAGATTTTCCTGCATTTTTTTTCCTGCCGTTAGTGTTTTTTCCTCCATTTGTTTACACTGATTTTTTCCTCCATTTGTTTAAACTGATTTTTTCCTGCATTTGTTGACAGCGTTATTCTTCCTGCATTTGTTGACAGTGTTTATTTTTCCTGCATTTGTTTAGTGTTATTTTTTCCTGTATTTTAGTGTTTTTGTCCTGCATTTGTTTACACTGTTTTTTTCCTTGCATTCGTTTACAGATTTTTTTTCCTTGCATTCGTTTACAGATTTTTTTTCCCTGCATTCGTTTACAGATTTTTTTTCCCTGCATTCGTTTACAGATTTTTTTTCCCTGCATTCGTTTACAGATTTTTTTTCCCTGCATTCGTTTACAGATTAGTTTTTCCCTGCATTCGTTTACAGATTTTTTTTCCTTGCATTCGTTTACAGATTTTTTTTCCCTGCATTCGTTTACAGATTAGTTTTTCCCTGCATTCGTTTACAGATTTGTTCTTCCCTGCATTTGTTCAGTGATTTTTTTTCCTGCATTTTTTATTCTTTCCCTCCATTTGTTTAGTTTTTTTATTTTTCCTGCATTTGTTTATTGTATTTTCCTTCATTTTCGTGTTTTTTTCCTGCATTTGTTTACACCGGTTTTTTCCTGCATTTGTTTACACTGGTTTTTTCCTTTTTCGTGTTTATTTCATGCATTGTTTACACTGATTTTCTCCTGCATTTGTTTAGTGTTTTTTTACTGCATTTGTCTAGTGTGTTATTCTTGCATTCGTTTTTCTCTGCATTTGTTTACACTGTTTTTTTTCCTGCATTTGTTTAGTGTTTTGTTTAGCGTTTTTTTCCTGCATTTACGTTTTATTTCCTGCTTTTGTGTAGTGATTTTTCCTTGCACTTGTTTTTCCCTGCATTCGTTTAGATTACACTGCATTTGTTTACTGTTTTTCCCTGCATTTGTTTACACTGCATTTTTATTTTTTCCTTGCATTTGTCTCGTGTTTTTTTCCTGTATTCGTTTATTTTTCCCGCATTTATTTAGTGTTTTTTCCTGCTTTTTAGTGTCTTATTTTCCTGTATTTGTTTATTTTATTTTCCCTCCAATTTAGTGTTTTTTTCCTGCATTTGTTTACAGCTTTTACCTGCTTTTTAGTGTTTTTTTTCCAGCATTTTCGTCTTTTTTTTCCTGCATTTGTTTACACATTTGTCTGCATTTGTTTACACTGCATTTTTCTTTTTTTCCTTGCATTTGTTTAGTTTAGTTTCCTTTCATTGCATTTGTCTAGTGTTTTTTCCTGCTTTTGTTTACTGTTTTTTTCCTGAATTTCTTTAGTGTTTGTTTTTTCCTGCGTGTGTTTAGTGTTTTTATGCATTTGTTTACACTGTTTTGTCTCGCATTTTTTTACACTGTTTTTTTTTTACTGTATTTGTCTGTTTTTCCTGGATTTGTCTAGTGTTTTTTCGTTGCTTTTGTTTTTCCCGGCATTTCTTTACAATGTTTTTTTTCCTTTTTAGTGATTTTTCATGCATTTGTTGACACTGTTTTTTCCCTGTATCTTATTTTTTTTCCCCTGCATTTGTTTATATTGTTTTATTTTTCCTGCATTTTAGTGATTTCTTTTTCTGCATTTGTTTACAATGTTTTTCCTGCATTTTAGCGTTTTTTTTCCTGCATTTGTCTAGTGTTTTTTTGTTTTCCTGCATTTGTCTAGTTTTTTTTTTTACTGTATTTGTCTAGTGTTTTTTTCTTGCATAAGTTTTTCCCTGCATTTCTTTAGTTTTTTCCTGCATTTGTTTACACTGTTTTTTTTTTCTGCTTTTTAGTGTTACATTATTCTGCATTTGTTTACTGTTCTTTTTTCCTGCAATTATGTTAGTGCTTTTTCCTGCATTTTAGTGTTTTGTTTCCAGTATTTTTCCCGCATTTGTTTACAGTGTTTTTTGTCCTGCATTTTCTTTCCTTTCATTTGTTTACAGTTTTCTTTCCTTTCATTTGTTTACAGTTTTCTTTCCTTGCATTTGTTTACAGTTTTCTTTCCTTGCATTTGTTTACAGTTTTCTTTCCTTGCATTTGTTTACAGTTTTCTTTCCTTTTTGTTTACAGTTTTTTCCTTTGCATTTGTTTACAATTTTTTTCCCTTGCATTTGTTTACAGTTTTCTTTCCTTGCATTTGTTTTGCAGTTCTTTTTTGCATTTGTTTATATTTTAGTTGTTTAGTTTTCTTCCTGTATTTTAGTGTTTTATATCCTGAATTTTAGTGTTTTTTCCTGCACTTGTTTAGTGTTTTATATCCTGAATTTTTTTTTTTCCTGCAGTTTTTTTTGTGCTTTTTTTTTCAGCAGTTTTTTCTGCATTTGTTTACAGTTTTCTTTTCTGCATTTGTTTACAGATTTGTTTTTTCCTGCAGTTTTTTTCATTTTTTCCTTGCATTTGTTCAGTTTTTTTTCTGCATTTGTTTAGTTTTTTTTCTGCATTTGTTTAGTTTTTTTTCTGCATTTGTTTAGTTTTTTTCCTGCTTTTTAGTGTTTTATTTTCCAGCATTTTAGTGTTCTTTTTCCTATATTTGTTTACAGTGGTTTTTTCCTATATTTGTTTACAGTGGTTTTTTCCTATATTTGCTAACGGTTTTTTACTCCTACATTTGTTTAGTCTTTTTTCTTCCTGCATTTGTTTAGTCTTTTTTCTTCCTGCATTTGTTTAGTCTTTTTTCTTCCTGCATTTGTTTAGTCTTTTTTCTTCCTGCATTTGTTTACAGTGTTTAATTTTCCTGCATTTGTTTCCCTGCATTTTAGTGTTTTTTTCTTCATTTGTTTAATGATTTTTTTTTTCATTTGTTTTTTCCAGCATTTGTTTATACTTTTTCTTTCCTTCATATGTTTACAGTGTTTTTTTTTGTCGTGTATTTTTTGCATTTGTTTTTTCCTGCATTTTAGATTTTTTTGTTTCCTGCATTTGTTTACAATGTTGTTTAGTGTTTTGTTTCCTGCATTTGTTTCCTGCATTTGTTTAGTGTTTTTTCTTGGATTTGTTTAGCGTTTTTTTTTTTTTGGCCCGCATTTATTTAGTGTTTTTTCCTGCATTTGTTTCGAGCTTTATTTTCCTGCATTTCTTTACAGTGTTGCTTTTTCCTGCATTTCTTTACAGTGTTGCTTTTTCCTGCATTTCTTTACAGTGTTGCTTTTTCCTGCATTTCTTTACAGTGTTGCTTTTTCCTGCATTTCTTTACAGTGTTGCTTTTTCCTGCATTTCTTTTACAGTGTTTTTTCCTGCATTTGTTTAGTGTTTTTCTGCATGCATTTTAGTTTTTTTCCAATTTGTTTTTTTTTTCCTGCATTTGTTTAGTGTTTTTTCCTGCATTTGTTTAGTGTTTTTTCCTGCATTTTTTATTTTTTATTTAGTGTTTTTTTTCCTGCATTTGTTTACAATGTTTTTTTTTCCTGTTTTTTTTAAAATGTTTTTGTTTTAGTGTTTTTTCTTCATTTGTTTAGTGTTTTTTTTTTTTTTTTTTTTGCATTTGTCTAAGTTTTTTCAGTGTTTTTTTTCCCTGCATTTGTTTAGTTTTTTTTCCTGCATTTGTTTAATGTTTTTTTAACTGATTTTAGTTTTTTTTGTTTTTTTTCCTGCATTTTTTTAGTGTTTTTTCCTTGCTTTTTCTGCATTTGTTTTTTTTTTTGTTTTTTGCATTAGTCGCAGTTTTTTTTTTGTATTTCACTGTTTTATTTTTTAGTGTTTTTCCTGCATTTTTTTTACTGTTTTTTTCCTGCATTTTTTTTTTTTTTCCCCATTTTTTTTTTCCTGCATTTTAGTGCTTTTTTCTTCATTTGTTTATTTTTCTTTTTTTTTTTTTTTTTTTTTTCTGCATTTTTACTGTTTTTATCCTGCAATTACTTTTTTTTCTGCATTTGTTTAGTGTTTTTTTTCAAGCATTGGTTTAGTGTTTTTCCTGCATTTGTTTGTTTTTTTATTTTTTCCTGCATTTGTTTAATGTTTTATTTTCCTGTATTTGGTTACAATGTTTATTTTTCCTCCATTTGAGATTTTTCCCTGCATTTGTTTACTTTGTTTTTTCCCTGCATTTGTTTACTTTGTTTACACTGTTTTTTTCCTGACTTTTTTCCTGACTTTTTTCCTGCATTTGTTTAGTGTCTTTCCTGCATTTGTTTAGTGTCTTTTCCTGCATTTGTTTAGTGTCTTTCCTGCATTTGTTTAGTGTCTTTTCCTGCATTTGTTTAGTGTTTTTTCCTGCTTTTTAGTGTTTTATTTTCCAGCATTTTAGTGTTTTTTCCTGCTTTTGTTTACAATGTTTTTTTTTTTTCCTGCTTTGTTTTACAGTTTTTCCTTTTTAGTGCTTCTTTTCTTCATTTGTCATTTGGGTTTTTTTTTTTTTTTTTTTACTGCATTTGTCTAAGGTTTTTCAACACATTGCATTTGTTTAATTTTCTTTCCTTTCATTTGTTTAGTTTTTTCCTTTATTTTTTTTTGCTTTGTTTTTTTTCCCTGCATTCGTTCACATTTACCTGCATTTGTTGACAGTTTTTGTTCTGCATTTGTTTAGTGTTTTGTTTTTCTGCATTAGTTCGCAGCGTTTTTTCCTGTATTTCACTGTTTTATATCCTGCATTTTAGTGTTTCTTCCATTTTTTTTTTTTTTTCCTCCATTTGTTTAGTCTTTTTTTCCCTGCATTTGTTTTTTTCCTGCATTTTTTGTGCTTTACATTGCATTTGTTTTCCTTTATTTCCTTTCATTTTGTTTATTTTTCCCTCCATTTTTACTGTTTTATCCCAATTACTTTTTTCTGCATTTGTTTAGTGTTTTTTTTCAAGCATTGTTTAGTGTTTTTTCCTGCATTTGTTTGTTTTTTCCTCCATTTGTTTAGTCTTTTTTTCTTCCTGCATTTGTTTACACTGTTTTTTGTGCTTTTAATGTTTTATTTTCCTGTATTTGTTACAATGTTTTTTTTTCTCCATTTGCCTGGCATTTGTTTACTTTTTGTTTTTCCCTGCATTTGTTTACTTTTGTTTACTTTTTTTTTCTTGACATTTTTTTTTTTCCTGTTTTTTAGTGTCTTTCCTGCATTTGTTTAGTGTCTTTCCTTTTGTTTTTTTTTCTTGCATTTGTTTACACTGTTTTTTTACTGCATTTGTCTAGTGTTTTTTCCTTGCATTTTTTTCCTGCATTTGTTTACACTGATTTTTCCTACAGTAGTTTTTTCTTTTTCCTGCATTTTTTTACACTGTTTTTCCTTTTCCTGCATTGGTTTTTCCTTTTCCTGCATTGGTTTTTCCTTTTCCTGCATTGGTTTTTCCTTTTCCTGCATTGGTTTACACTTTTTCCTGCATTGTTTACATTGTTTTTCCCCTGCATTTTGTTTTTTTCCTGCATTTGTCTAGTGTTTTTTCCCTTGCATTTGTTTTTTCCCTTGCATTTGTTTTTCCCTGCATTTGTTTACAATGTTTTTTTCCCGGCATTTATTTACCGTGTTTTATTTCCCAGCATTTGTTTACCGTGTTTTATTTCCCAGCATTTGTTTACCGTGTTTTATTTCCCAGCATTTGTTTACCGTGTTTTGTTTACCGTGTTTTGTTTACCGTGTTTTGTTTACCGTGTTTTATTTCCCAGCATTTGTTTTACTGCATTTTTTTGTTTTACTGCATTTTTTTGTTTTTACTTGCATTTGTTTTGTTTCCTTTCAGTGATTTGATTACACTGTTTTTTCCAGATTTTTTTTCCTGCATTTGTTTAGTGTTTTTTCTGCATTTGTTTTCACTGTTGTTTACACTGTTTTTGTCTTGCATTTGTTTACACTGTTTTTTCCTGCATTTGTCTAGTTTTTTTTTACTGTATTTGTCTACTATTTTTCCTGCATTTGTTTAGTGATTTTTTCCTGTATTGTTAAAACTGTTTTTCCCCAGCATTTTAGTGTTTTTTTTTTCCTGCATTTCATTAGTGATTCATTTTCCTGCCTTTGTTTACAGTTTTTTCTGCATTTCTTTACACTGTTTTTTTTTCCTGCACATCTTTACACCTTTTTTACTGTATTTGTCTGTTTTTCCGGTAATTGTCTAGTGTTTATTCCTTCCATTTGTTTTTCCCTGCATTTTGTTTAGTGTTTTTCCTGCATTTGTTTACACTGTTTTTTCTTTTCCTGTATTTTTTTACACTTTTTCCTGCATTGTTTACACATTTTTCCTTGCATTGTTTACACTGTTTTTTCCCCAGCATTTTATTTTTTTTATCCAGCATTTGTCTAATGTTTTTACCTTGCATTTGTTTTTCCCTGCACTCGTTTTTCCCTGCACTCGTTTACTGATTTGTTTTCCCGGCATTTGTTTACTATTTTTTTCCCGGCATTTGTTTACAGCGTTTTATTTCCCAGCATTTGTTTACCGTGTTTTTTCCTGCATATGTTTCACTGCATTTTTGTATTTTTTTACTTGCAGTTGTTTAATCTCCTTTCCCTGCATTTGATTACACTGTTTTTTTCCTGATTTTTTTCCTGCAATTGTTTAGTGTTTTTTCTGCTTTTGTTTTCACTGTTGTTTACACTGTTTTTGTCTTGCATTTGTTTACTGTTTTTTTCCTGCATTTGTCTAGTGTTTTTTTTTACTGTATTTGTCTACTATTTTTCCCGCATTTGTCTAGTGTTTTTTCCTTGCATTTTTTTTCCTGCATTTGTTTACAGTGATTTTTTTTCCTGTATTGTTAAGTTTTTCCCCAGCATTTTAGTGTTTTTTCTGCATTTCATTAGTGATTTATTTTCCTGCATTTGTTTACACTGTTTTTTTTCCTGCACTTCTTTACACTTTTTTTCCTGCATTTGTCTTCAGTTTTTTTTTACTGTATTTGTCTGTTTTTCCTGTAATTGTCTACTATTTATTCCTTCCATTTGTTTTTCCCTGCATTTGTTTAGTGTTTTTTCCTGCATTTTTTTATTCTTTCCCTGCATTTGTTTACACTGGTTTTTTTTCCTGCATTAGTTTAGTGTTTTTCCTATACTTTTTCGTTGTTTGTTTCCTGCATTTGTTTCCACTGTTTTCTTTTCCTGCATTTGTTTCCACTGTTTTCTTTTCCTGCATTTGTTTCCACTGTTTTCTTTTCCTGCATTTGTTTCCACTGTTTTCTTTTCCTGCATTTGTTTCCACTGTTTTCTTTTCTTGCATTTGTTTCCACTGTTTTCTTCCTGGATTTTATTGTTTTTCTGCATTTGTTTACAATGTTTTTTTCTGCATTTGTTTATTTTTTTTCACTGCATTTATTTTTCCCCTGCATTTGTTCAGTGTTTGTTCATTGCATTTGTTTACAGTTTTCTTTCCTTGCATTTTTAGAGTTTTCCTGCATTTGTTTCCAGTGTTTTTTTTTTTTTCGCGACAGTTATTTTCCTGCATTTGTTTAAACTCTTTTTGTCCTGCATTTGTTTAGTGTTTTTCCTGCATTTGTTTATTTTTTTGATTTCCTGCATTTCTTTAGTGATTTATTTTCCTGCATATTTGTACACTGTTTTTTTTCCCTGGATTTGTCTAGTGAGTTTTCTTCCATTTTTTTTCACTACATTCGTTTTTCCCTGCATTTGTTTACAGTTTTATTTCCTTGGATTTTAGTTTATTTCCTGCATTTTATTGTCTTATTTTCCTGTATTTGTTTACCATGATTTTTCCTGCATTTGTTGACTGTTTTTATTGTTCCTGCCTTTGTTTACACTGTTTTTTCCTGCATTTGTCCTAGATTTTTTTTTAATGTATTTGTCTGTTTTTCCTGTATTTGTCTAGTGTTTTTTCCTTCCATTTGTTTTTCCCTGCATTTGTTAAATGTTTTATTCCTGCATTTTTTTATTCTTTACCTGCATTTGTATACTGTTTTCTTCTTGCATTTGTTGACACTGTTTTCTTTTCCTGCATTAGTTTATCCTGTTTTTTTTTTCCTGCATTTGTTTCCACTGTTTTTTCCTGCATTTGTTTCCACTGTTTTTTCCTGCATTTGTTTCCACTTTTTTCCCTGCATTTTTCCTGCATTTGTTTCCACTGTTTTTTCCTGCATTTGTTTCCACTGTTTTTTCCTGCATTTGTTTGCACTGTTTTTTCCTGCATTTGTTTGCACTGTTTTTTCCTGCATTTGTTTGCACTGTTTTTTCCTGCATTTGTTTGCACTGTTTTTTCCTGCATTTGTTTGCACTGTTTTTTCCTGCATTTGTTTGCACTGTTTTTTCCTGCATTAGTTTGCACTGTTTTTTTGTTCACCTACATTTTATTTTTTTTCCCTGCATTTTTTTTCCCTGCATTTTTTTTTCTCCTGCATTTTTTTTTCTCCTGCATTTTTTTTTTCTCCTGCATTTTTTTTTTTCTCCTGCATTTTATTTTTTCTCCTGCATTTTTTCAGTGTTTGTTCATTGCATTTGTTTACAGTTTTCTTTCCTTGCATTTTAAGTTTTTTCTTGCTTTTGTTTGCACTGTTTTCTTTCTGCATTTGTTTACACTGTTTTTTATCTTTCTGCCTTTGTTTACACTTTTTTTCCTGCATTTGTCTAGATTTTTTTTTACTGTATTTGTCTGTTTTTACTGTATTTGTCTGTTTTTCCTGTATTTGTCTAGTGTTTTTTCCTTCCATTTGTTTTTCCCTGCATTTGTTAAATGTTTTATTCCTGCATTTTTTTATTCTTTCCCTGCATTTGTTAACACTGATTTTCTTCTCCTGTATTAGTTTACAGCGTTGTTAATTTTTCCTACATTTGTTTAATGTTTTTTTCCCTGCATTTTTTCCCTGCATTAGTTTCCACTGTATTTTTCCCTGCATTAGTTTCCACTGTATTTTTCTTGCACTTGTTTTTTTCCCTGCATTTTATTTTTTCTCCTGCATTTTTTCAGTGTTCATTGCATTTGTTTACAGTTTTCTTTCCTTGCATTTTTTCTTGCCTTTGTTTACACTGTTTTTTTCTTGCCTTTGTTTACACTGTTTTTTTCTTGCCTTTGTTTACACTGTTTTTTTCTTGCCTTTGTTTACACTGTTTTTTTCCTGCATTTGTCTACACTGTTTTTTTCCTGCATTTGTCTACACTGTTTTTTTCCTGCATTTGTCTAGATTTTTTTTTTTACTGTATTTGTCTATTTTTCCTGTATTTGTCTAGTTTTTTCCTTCCATTTGTTTTTCCCTGCATTTGTTAAGTCTTTTATTCCTGCATTTTTTTATTCTTTCCCTGCATTTTTTACACTGTTTTCTTCTTGCTTTTGTTTACATTGTATTCTTCTTGCATATGTTGACACTAGTTTTCTTTTCCTGCATTTGTGTTGACATCTTTCCTGTTTTTGTTTCCTGCATTTTTTTTCCTCATTTGTTTTTTTTTTTTTTTTTGCATTTGTTTCACAGTTTTTTTTTTTTTTCATGTTTCCAGTTTTTTTTCCTGCATTTGTTTCCACATTTTTTTTTCCTGCATTTGTTTCCACATTTTTTTTTCCTGCATTTGTTTCCACAGTTTTTTTTCCTGCATTTGTTTCCACAGTTTTTTTTCCTCATTTGTTTCCACAGTTTTTTTTCCTCATTTGTTTCCACAGTTTTTTTTCCTCATTTGTTTCCAGTTTTTTTTCCTCATTTGTTTCCACAGTTTTTTTTCCTCATTTGTTTCCACAGTTTTTTTTCCTGCATTTGTTAAGTTTTTTTTCCTGCATTTTTTCCCTGCATTTGTTTAGTGATTTATTTCCTGCATTTGTCTAGTGATCTTTCTTCCATTTTCTTTTTCCCTGCATTTGTTTAGTTTTCTTTCCTTGCATTTTAGTTTTTTTCCTGCATTTTATTGTCTTATTTCCTGTATGTTTACCATGATTTTTCCTGTATTTGTTGACTGTCTATATTTTTCCTGCATTTGTTGACTGTTTATATTTTTACTGCCCACCTTTTTTTCCTGCATTTGTTTCCTTTTTTTTCCTGCATTTTGTTTTTTTTCCTTTTTTCCCGTGCATTTGTTCAGTGTTTGTTCATTGCATTTGTTTACAGTTTTCTTTCCTTGCATTTTTAGAGTTTTTTCCTGCAATTGTTTACACTCTTTTTGTCCTGCATTTGTTTAGTGTTTTTCCTGCATTTGTTTAGTGTATATTTTTCCTGCATTTGTTTATTTTTTTGATTTCCTGCATTTCTTTAGTGATTCATTTTCCTGCATTTGTGTAGTTTTTTTTTCTTCCATTTTTTTTCACTACATTCGTTTTTCCCTGCATTTGTTTAGTTTTATTTCCTTGCATTTTAGGTTTTTTCCTGCATTTTATTGTCTTATTTTCCTGTATTTATTTACCATGATTTTTCCTGCATTTGTTGACTGTTTTTATTGTTCCTGCATTTGTTTATTTTCCATGCATTTGTTTTTTTTCCATGCATTTGTTTTTTTTCCATGCATTTGTTTTTCCATGCATTCGTTTACTGATTGGTTTTCCCTGCATTTGTTTTTTTTCCCTGCATATGTTTAGTGTTTTTTCCCTGCATATGTTTAGTGTTTTTTCCCTGCATATGTTTAGTGTTTTTTTCCTGCATATGTTTAGTGTTTTTTTCCTGCATATGTTTAGTGTTTTTTTCCTGCATATGTTTAGTGTTTTTTCCCTGCATATGTTTAGTGTTTTTTCCCTGCATATGTTTAGTGTTTTTTTCCTGCATATGTTTAGTGTTTTTTTCCTGCATATGTTTAGTGTTTTTTCCTGCATTTGTTTCCACCTTTTTTTTCCTGCATCTTATTGTTTTTTCCTGCATTTGTTTACTCTTTTTTTCCTGCATTTGTTTACTGTGTATTTTTGTTCGTGCATTTGTTTACTGTGTATTTTTTCCTGCATTTCTTTATTTTTTTTATTTCCTGCATTTGTGTACACTGTTTTTTCTCCTGCATTTGTCTAGTGATTTTTCTTCCATTTTTTTCCCTACATTCGTTTGTCCCTGCATTCGTATACAGATATTTTTCCCTGCATTTTATTGTCTTATTTTCCTGTATTTGTTTACCATTATTTTTCCTGCATTTGTTGACTGTTTTTATTTTTCATGCGTTTGTTTACACTGTTTGTTTTTCCTGCATTTGTTTACACTTTTTCCCGCATTGTTTACACTGTTTTTTCCCCAGCATTTTGTTTTTCCCCATGTATTTGTTTTTCCATGCATTTGTCTTTCCATGCATTTGTTTTACCCTGCATTCGTTTACTGATTTGTTTTCCCTGCATTTTAGTGTTTTTTTCCTGCATTAGTTTCCACTTTTTTTTTTCCCTGCATCTTGTTTTTTTCCTGCCTTTGTTTACACTGTTTTTCCTGCATTTGTCTAGATTTTTTTTTACTGTATTTGTCTGTTTTTCCTGTATTTGTCTAGTGTTTTTGCCTTCCATTTGTTTTTCCCTGCATTTGTTAAATGTTTTATTCCTGCATTTTTTTATTCTTTCCCTCATTTGTTTACTGTTTTCTTCTTGCATTTGTTGACACTGGTTTTCTTTTCCTGCATTAGTTTACAGCGTTGTTTATTTTTCCTATATTTGTTACCACTGTTTTTTTTTCCATGCATTTGTTACCAGTTTTTTTTTCCATGCATTTGTTTCCACTGTATTTGTTTCCACTGTATTTTTTTCCACTGTATTTTTTTCCACTGTATTTTTTTTACACTGTTTTTTTTTTTCCACTGTTTTTTTTTTTTTTTCCACTGTTTTTTTTTCCACTGTTTTTTTTTTTTTTTTTCACTGTTTTTTTTTTTTGTTTCCACTGTTTTTTTTCCTGTATTTTTTTCCACTGTTTTTTTTCCTGTATTTGTTTCCACTGTTTTTTTTCCTGTATTTGTTTCCACTGTTTTTTTTCCTGTATTTGTTTCCACTGTTTTTTTTCCTGTATTTGTTTCCACTGTTTTTTTTTTACCCTGCATTTGCATTTTTTCAGTGTTTGTTCATTGCATTTGTTTACAGTTTTCTTTCCTTGCATTTTAAGTTTTTTCTTGCTTTTGTTTCCAGTTTTTTTTCCTGTATTTGTTTCCACTGTTACTGCATTTGTTTCCACTGTTTTTTTTTTCTCCTCTTCATTTGTTTTTTTTTTCTCTTCATTTGTTTTTTTTTTTTTCTCTTCATTTGTTTTTTTTTTTTTCTCCTCTTCATTTGTTTTTTTTTTTTCTCCCCTTCATTTGTTTTTGTTTTTTTTTCTCCTCTTCATTTGTTTTTTTTTCCCCTGCATTTGTTTTTTTTTTCTCCTGCATTTTATTTTTTTTCTCCTACATTTTTTGAGTGTTTGTTCATTGCATTTGTTTACAGTTTTCTTTCCTTGCATTTTAAGTTTTCTTGCTTTTGTTTACACTTTTTTCTTTCTGCGTTTGTTTACACTGTTTTTTATCTTCCTGCATTTGTTTACACTGTTTTTGTCTGTTTTTACTGTATTTGTCTGTTTTTCCTGTATTTGTGTAGTGTTTTTTCCTTCCATTTGTTTTTCCCTGCATTTGTTAAATGTTTTATTCCTGCATTTTTTCTTTCCCTGCATTTGTTGACACTTGTTTTCTTCTCCTGCATTAGTTTACAGCGTTGTTTATTTTTCCTACGTTTGTTCATTGCATTTGTTTATAGTTTTCTTTCCTTGCATCTTCAGTTTTTTCCTGCATTTGTTTACACTGTTTTTTTCCTGCATTTGTTTTTTTTTTTCCCCATTTTTTACTTTTTTTCCTGCATTTGTTTACTGTTTTTTTTTTCGTTTGTTTACACTGTTTTTTTTCCTGCATTTGTTTACACTGTTTTTTTCCAGCGTTTGTTTACACTGTTTTTTTCCAGCGTTTGTTTACACTGTTTTTTTCCAGCGTTTGTTTACACTGTTTTTTTCCAGCGTTTGTTTACACTGTTTTTTTCCAGCGTTTGTTTACACTGTTTTTTTCCAGCGTTTGTTTACACTGTTTTTTTTCCAGCGTTTGTTTACACTGTTTTTTTTTCCAGCGTTTGTTTACACTGTTTTTTTTTTCAGCGTTTGTTTACACTGTTTTTTTTCCAGCGTTTGTTTTTTTCCAGCGTTTGTTTACACTGTTTTTTTTCCAGCGTTTGTTTACACTGTTTTTTTTCCAGCGTTTGTTTACACTGTTTTTTTTCCAGCGTTTGTTTACACTGTTTTTTTTCCAGCGTTTGTTTACACTGTTTTTTTTCCAGCGTTTGTTTACACTGTTTTTTTTCCAGCGTTTGTTTACACTGTTTTTTTTCCAGCGTTTGTTTACACTGTTTTTTTCCAGCGTTTTTTTTACACTGTTTTTTTCCAGTTTGTTTACACTGTTTTTTTTCAGCGTTTGTTTACACTGTTTTTTTCCAGCGTTTGTTTACTTTTTTCCAGCGTTTTTTTTTTTTTTTTCAGCGTTTGTTTACACTGTTTTTTTTCCAGCGTTTGTTTACACTGTTTTTTTTTCCAGCGTTTGTTTACACTGTTTTTTTTTTTTTGTTTACTGTTTTTTTTTTTCCAGCGTTTGTTTAGTGTTTTTTCCTTTTGTTTTGTTTTTTCCAGCATTTGTTTTAGTCTTTTTTTTCTGCGTTTTTTTATTCTTTTTTCCCTGCATTTGTTTACACTGTTTTTTTTCCAGCGTTTGTTTACATTGTTTTTTTTTCCAGCGTTTGTTTACACTGGTTTTTTTTTCCGTTTTGTTTCCACTGTTTTTTTTTTTTACTGTATTTCTGTTTTTCCTGTATTTGTTTTTTTTTCTTCCATTTGTTTTCCATCTGTTTTTTTTCCTACATTTTTTTCTTTCCTGTTTTTTTTACCTACATTTGTTTGGATTTGTTTTATTTTTTTCCTACATTTGTTTCCACTGTTTTTTTTTCCTACATTTGTTTCCACTGTTTTTTTTTCCTACATTTGTTTCCACTGTTTTTTTTTCCTACATTTGTTTCCACTGTTTTTTTTTCCTACATTTGTTTCCACTGTTTTTTTTTCCTACATTTGTTTCCACTGTTTTTTTCGTGCATTTGTTTTTTTCTCCTGCATTTTTTCAGTTTGTTCATTGCATTTGTTTACAGTTTTCTTTCCTTGCGTTTTTTCTTGCTTTTGTTTACACTGTTTTTTCCTGCATTTGTTTACACTGTTTTTTCCATTTTTACTGTTTTTTTCCTGCATTTGTCTCGATTTTTTTTTTTTACTGTATTTGTCTGTTTTTCCTGTATTTGTCTAGTGTTTTTTCCTTCCATTTGATTTTCCCTGCATTTGTTAAGTCTTTTATTCCTGCATTTTTTTATTCTTTCCATGCATTTGTTTACACTGTTTTCTTCTTGCATTTGTTTAGTTTTCTTTCCTTGCATTTTAGTTTTTTTCCTGCATTGTTTACACTGTTTTTTTCCATGCATTTGTTTTTCGCTGCATTTGTTTTTCCCTGCATTTGTTTTTTTCCTGCATTTGTTTTTTTCCTGCATTTGTTTCCAATGTTTTTTTTCCTGCATTTGTTTCCAATGTTTTTTTTTCCTGCATTTGTTTCCAATGTTTTTTTTTCCTGCATTTGTTTACACTGTTTTTTTTCTTCCTGAATTTGTTTACACTGTTTTTCCTGTATTTTTTTATTCTTTCCCTGCATTTGTTTACACTGGTTTTCTTTCCTGCATTAGTTTACAGCGTTGTTTATTTTTCCTACATTTGTTTCCATTTTTTTCCTGTATTTGTTTCCATTGTTTTTTTTTCCTGCATTTGATTTCTTTTCCCTGCATTGTATTTCTTTTTTCCTGCATTTTATTTTTTTCCTGCATTTTTTCAGTGTTTGTTCATTGCATTTGTTTACAGTTTTCTTTCCTTGCATTTGTTTACTGTTTTTTACCTGCATTTGTTTACTGTTTTTTACCTGCATTTGTCTAGATTTTTTTTTACTGTATTTGTCTGTTTTTCCTGTATTTGTCTAGTGTTTTTCCTTCCATTTGTTTTTTTTCCATTTGTTTTTCCCTGCATTTGTTAAGTCTTTTATTCCTGCATTTTTTATTCTTTCCCTGCATTTGTTTATACTGTTTTCTTCTTGCATTTGTTGACACTGTTTTTCTTTTCCTGCATTAGTTTACAGCGTTGTTTTTTTTTCCTGCATTTGTTTACAGTGTTTTTTTTTCCTACATTTGTTTACAGTGTTTTTTTTTCCTACATTTGTTTAGTGTTTTTTTTTCCTGCATTTGTTTACAGTGTTTTTTCCTGTATTTGTTTCCACAGTGTTTTTATTTCCTGCATGTGTTTTTCATTTCCTGCATTTGCTTACACTGTTCTTTAGTGTTTTTTTCCCTGCATTTGTTCAGTTTTTTTCCTTGCATTTGTTTACACATTTGTTTTTTCCTGCATTTTTTAAATTTTTGCCTTGCATTTGTTTACAGTTCTCTTTCCTTGCATTTTGTTTTTTTCCTGCATTTATTTACTGTTTTTATTCTGCATTTGTTTACAGTGTTTATTTTTCCCCTATTTGTTTACAGTGTTTATTTTTCCCGCATTTTATTTAGTGTTTATTTTTCCCGCATTTTATTTACAGTGTTTATTTTTTCTTCATGCATTTTATTTACAGTGTTTTTTCTTCATGCATTTTATTTACAGTGTTTTTTCTTCATGCATTTTATTTACAGTGTTTTTTCTTCATGCATTTTATTTAGTGTTTCTTCTTCATGCATTTGTTTACACTGTTTTTTTCTGCTTTTTAGTGTTTTATTTTCTTGTATTTTTTTTAGTTTTTTTCCTGTTTTATTTTTTTTATTTTTTTTTTCTTTCCAGCATTTGATTACACTGTTTTTCCTGCATTTGTTTACAGTGTGTTTTCCTGCATTTGTTTACTGTTTTTTACTACATTTATCTAGTGCTTTATTTCCTGCATTTGTATAGTGTTTTTTCCTTGCATTTCTTTTTCCCTGCATTTGTTTTTTCCTGCATTTGTTTAGTTTTTTTTCCTGCATTTGTTTAGTGTTGTTTAGTGTTTTTTTCTGCATTTGTTTAGATTTTTTTCCTTGCATTTTTTAGTGTTTTTGTTTTCCTGCAATTGTTTAGTTTTTTCTCCTGCATTTGTTTACACTGTTTTTGTCCTGCATTTGTTTAGTGATTTTTTTACTGTATTTGTCTAGTGTTTTTTTTTTACTGTATTTGTCTAGTGTTTTTTTTTTTTTTTTACTGCATTTGTTTTTCCGTGCATTCGTTTAGAATCGTTTACAGATTTGTTTTTCCTGCAAGTTTTTATTTTTTCCTTGCATTTGTCTAGTGTTTTCTTTTTTTCCTGCATTTTAGTGTTTTTACTGTACATCTTTTGTATGAAGAGAGGAATACTAAACCGGTTTAGCTGTTATTAACCTTTATATTTAGATATTACCAATTTACGGTAATATATTTTTGCTACCTCTTTTTGTTATGAATGATGCCCTTTCATTTTAGATTTATTGATCTAATGTTGTGTACCCTTTCGAAAACCGTTTTTTGTGAATTACAATTCATTTGCTGTTTTATTGAAATCGAAGTATTTGAATAGGCCCTTCTGGTAAAACAATATCTATTAAATAATCTACATTGTTTTGGATGATATTAAATAGGAATCCAAAAAAGAAAAATGTTCATAATTATATGTAAAGCGCCAACACGCATCAATAATTATGTTTGTCAATGTTATTTGATTAACCAATCCCATAGCTGCATCAAGTATCATATAAAGCAGGACAAGATGAAGGTGATTATACCTTGGTTATCCTTAAGATTCTTGGAGGTTTATTGAAGTGAAGTTCTTCGTGGCATTGAATGCTTTTAGATTTTGACTAGCTTCAAATCCGCTTTATCGGGAGGGGGCATTTTAGCTAGCCCTTGCAGAGGGCTCTTGATTGTGTGTTCAGGAGATAGAAAGTTCTTAAATCTTTGCATATTGTAAGCACTGGAAACTCTCTTGACTGCCATTTGATCTGGGTTTTCATTTAATTGAAAGACAGTTTGATGCACGTAGGACCTTACTTTCCGTACAATTATATTTATTTCAGTGCAACTCGTTGCAATTAATTTCAATTACTCCCAAATTTATTCCCAAATTATAAAAATTTCACCCAAAAAATTTGTCTCAAAAATCTTCAAAAACATCGCAGTAATGAAAATTTGGGAATATAAAATTTCAGGATTGAGTCCAGGCCCGAGATCTTAATTTTATCATGGAGTCTGCCTGATTCCAAAATGGTATAAGTTGGCACTATTGCCTCTAGGATTATAGTTGAAAAAAATTTATTCGTTTATATTCTCATTTATTAATATAACAGTCGGCACAAATTGTACGTTCTATATTAAGACACATAGTTATGCAATAATATCCAGATGAATGATTATTATTTCAACTTAGGATTATTTTGATAAGGGGATTTTCATTGTCATATTTGCAAATTATCCACTTCCACATTCTCTGGCCTTTGATAATACACGACGGACACGCATAATTTTCTTGCATTGAAATAAATTCTACGATTTCATGTACGATGCGCTGCCAACTTCCAGAGCTTTTACTGAAGTCATAATTTAGTATAGAGTTAATTCGCTACTTGTATAGAGTATCCACTGTTAATTTAAGCCATGTTTTCTTTTTACACCCGTTTCCCTTTTATTGTGCATGATCAATTCTACCCTTATTTCATCATGTACTTAAAGAACCTAAAATAATTGCCAGGAATGACACGGCTGTAATAATAAATTAATATCGTAATTTCTTGTAACGAACTGTTCACACAAATTACATTTTTCCATTATGGCAAGAACTTTGCCCCTACATGAACTTTGATAACTGGCATAATTTCTATGGAGAACAAATTCAATCTTTCAGATCTATTTCCAATTGATGAGATAATTGTACAGTTGATAGAAATATTTTGTACCATTGTTTGGAATCACCTTATACTGACAAGAAACTATTGGAATCGCTTTCAAAAGAAACTTATTCAAAACGATTGGTTTCTAATGTGAGAATGTTCAGTGTTAAATGGCTAAACCTTGCTTCTATTCAGATTTAATTCTCGGACTCGACTAACTTACTAATTTTATTTTACTCCCCGTTCATTATATAAATTTGTATAAAATAGACAATCAGAAAATGGTACGTAGGCCTTAACGTCGCATCTCATTTGATTTTATCAAGGCAAATGTATTGTATAAGCCTCTTTTGGGATATAGTAACTCCTTTTTTTCTTTGCTTAATAGTGTATTTTTTGTTTTCCATGTCGACAATGTTAGATTTCTCAGGATAAATCTGTTGATCAGTCAAAAAAAATTACTAAGTTCTATTATTTTACGTTTAAAATGTCCGTTTTAAAGTCTTTTATAAATTGAGGCGGGCATGCGTGTGATAGTTTTTTATTGCAGGCAGCGTCCCTCCAGGACATAGGCAATCATGGTATTTCAGATCTTCCTCTCATTTAAAGATTTTGCCATCCCTATTAAATTCTTTTCTGCCATCGCTTTACACAAGCTCGTTAGGTAGGCCATACATTGCATTCCTCTGTCTTGATAGGCTTTAAAATGTCCTGTGTGTTTAATGTTTCCAAAGTCCTCTATCCTTCTGTTTCCGAGAAATATTACCTGTATTTGTGATTCTTATTCTAAGTCTTTTCTTTTTACAGTTTTAGTTAAAACTTCCTCAATACTCATGTTCAAATGATATTCTCTGCAATATTTTGTGTAAACGCGTTCTGTTTGTTCGCCTCTTAATCTGAGGAGATTGTCCCACATTCACTGGAATATAGCAGGACTGATATTGCACGTACGTTTAGAAATCTTATGCTTCTAATGAAATATTCCTGTTTAATACTTTGCTTAACTTTTGCAAAGCATTTTTCTCTATTCTAATGCGCCTTCGGATTGTGGCACCATTTACCAGGGCAAAAAAGAAAAGAAAGGAAAAAGAGAAAGGAAGGAAAGGAAAGGCGAGACTTAAACGTAGATGATAAAAATGAACCACCCACGACCACAGACAATTGACAATGTTATTTTGATAAGTAGCAAATGGCGAAAAGTGTCATTACCATGGCAGAAAAAAAGTGGATTAGGGAATCGACTATGTTCTGGCGACGCACAGACTAGCCAAGAAAACTCTAATTGAAAATGTTATTTTGATAATTGACAAAGAACAGGTGAAATACAGGGCTTTGGATAGATATGAAAAATTAACTGTGTCGTCTGCCAAGCCGCACACGAAGTAACGGCTGACCGTTTTTTTTTGTTTGTTTTTTTTCGACAAGACATCTTTGGCTGTGATAACAAATTGTTGACGCCCCTCTGAAGTATGGTGAGAATGTGGGAATAAGAGAAGACTCCCAAAAATAGAAAGAAGTGGAAATGTATTTAGAATTATCGAGGAACCTCCGACGACGACAAACCCACCCCGGTTTTGCTCGGCGTCCATATAAGCAATGTCGCAGCGAGCGAAAATCAGACAGGACACAGCTCAGTACAGTTCAGAGGAGTTCAATCCAGAGTGCTCAGTTGAAGCAGGCCTCGCAGATGACTAAGATTCGCGCAGCTTACGAACTTATCTTCAATCCAAGAAGAATTATTTTGAAGAGTGACTTAGATCCAGACCACCAAAATAACTTTTTTCGACTTTCGCCTGAAGACACACCAAGAACCAATTTCTTGAAGAACACACAACCTAAAGTGTTAAAACTCGCCTAACAAAAGAACAACGTGTCACAATCCATATAACGGGCCGGGAGATAGACGCAGTCCTATGTATCCAGCAACTAGACATAAAGTTTTGTTATTCTTTTTTTGATACCATGAACTTTTGAGTTGTCATTTTATTTTCTTTTATGCATATTTGCGCGGTGTCACCCTCGTTGAACTCGATTTGCATTACGGCCACAACTACTGATTGATTTCGTCTGCCTAAGATCAATTCACAACGTGAGTAGGCAGACTGGAGATCAACGCAGTTACTTTGGTAACCAGACGTTGGAAGTGAGTTGGGAACGACGACGCTGATATCGAATCTAACCAGATTCCCATCCGAATCACCAAAAGGTTAGAACGTCACATTTGGGTGCCGCGACCGATACCAAGCCAGTTGGTCGTCA